AAAAAAGAAAAAAAAATCGCGCCTGTTCACAAACACAAAAAACAAAAATCGGAATCTATAAAAATAAACCAATAATGATGATTAATTCCAGCATTTCAGTCATGATAAATAACTTCACTTTCTTGTGTTAAGAACATTTAGTCGAGTCTCACTGCAAGCCAGCTACATATTACATCAGCATTGTGCAATAGCGAAGCGCAGTCATTTTGTGGAAAATCGTAAACAATATAGAACAAACGTCATCTCCTTCACTATTTTATATTAAGTTAAATTAATTCTTGTTAATTATTTTTTTTGAGAAAAGCAAAACTTTTTTTTTTCTTTGATAATGCAAGTTTTGACATTAGATATATCTATTATATGGCCCTTTGTAATGTAAACACCGAGAAAAAAATATTATTTACAAACATTATTACTTTTATTTATTGACATTATATGAAATATTGGTCATTTACAAAGTCGTGCACAAATGACGTCATCGATAAGGTCAATTATGCAAGAACTACAGTTACTTAAAATTATTTTGTCAGATGCTGGATTCCAATAAATAAACTTGATACTGACTACTTAAGTAACATACTGTTGTGAAGTTATGTCAGACGTAAATTGTGAATGCCAACAATTTGTTTTCCCCACCCTCTCTCTGAACACACACACACACACACACACACACACACACACACACACACACACACACACACACACACACACACACACACACACAAACACACTTTGAGTATTTTTACAGTAAGATATTCGAATTGGTTGGTCTGAAGCAAGGTATATTGTAACTTGTATTTTGGAAAACGTTTCAAGAGTTGTGCATAAGTTATTTAAAAGTCAAGTATACCATTTTCAGTATTTCCAAATTCGTATTTTTTATTGCCAGTGAAGAATAACTGTATGAAAGAGCAAAATGAATATCAATATCATTAAATCTTCCACGTGAAAAATATTCTATTACCTATCAGTAAATCTTTAACGTAAACATATTCTCGCTCATACTTTTTTCATCAAATATCAACAGTTTATAGTATTCCTAAACTAAAGTATATGCCGACGTTGAGATTTATTTCTATTTCATATTTACTTACGAATTAACTAATCTTATTTTAAGACTTTGTTAGTTTCTCAGGATTCAATAACATTATTTAACTCTAATTAAAGCGGCCCAATGCTCGATACATACTTTTAAAAGTCTAGATAAAAGTATTATTAGAAACTAAGTAGGGTGCGTGATCGGCCTGCAAGGATTTACATTGTATGTTCTGATTAAAATTGGGGATATACTGATCTACAGACTTGATATGACGACAGGTTGCCACAAATGTATGAGATTCTGAAATTGCCTCTCTTTCAAATCAGGAGGCATGCATTTCCTTTTTTTAAACACAAGTAAGCAATCTATAAAAGCCTGTTGCACATGATTCACACTGGCGTTCCCTAAAATTCTGCATGAAAGTCATTGAAGATCACCACCCGTTTCGTTTTCTGCTTCAGGTGGATTCGAAACTATATTAGTCTTTTCCTAATGTGGTTGTTCCATTTTGTCACCCTTTTTCAATATGGTAGCGTGCAAAAACATGGGCGATCACACCATCCTGGAACCAATGAGATAAATACCTACCTCACTCACCCCCCCCCCCTTACCGATAAGTCATCTAGATAAAAGTCAACGATAAATAATGTGCTTAACACTTGCATACTGGATGAAAATACTACGAGTGTTGGAGTAGGCGAGGGATAGATCAACAACCATAATGAAGCATAAGTCATCAAAGTCAGAAACGTGCTTTAACCTCTGCGAGAAGGAAAAAACGACAAAGCAATATTCCTTCTCCAAGCTGAAAATGGGCCAGAAATTATTCACTGGACTATATGAGTAGGCAACATGTACTAAAATGGATGTTACTGAACATGTCAATCGAACAAGTAAGGATAAGCCATCGATGTGAAGACTATAACGCCCTTCTACATTAGCAGATCTGCTCCTCCACATGCCTGCAGCGCGCCGTCGAAGTGTGCAAGGTGGTGAATCAAGAAAATATCGTCAGCTCAACATAACTGAATAGGATGTGGGCTGTTCAGAAACAATATTACGTAAATGATCGCCAGTGGATGCTGAAATTCCAAGTGTGGGTCTTCGTTAAATTGGTGGTGTACATTTGTTTCATGAGTTACACCAAATCCCTGCAAGTGTGGTGGTATTATGAAAATGAAGAAGAAAAAATGGTTTTAAATTCTGAGAACGTGACGGTAAAGCACATCTTAATAGCATTTAAACTAAAATGGAGTTTACAAGTGATTGGTAGATAGGTGTGAGGATGGAAGTGAAATATTTAGGTATAAAACTGAATGGCAATCTTTCTATTAATATTCTGATTAATCGTATAGTGAAAGTCACTGGGAATCATTTGAGGAATATTGCTTTAGTGAGGAAATATTTGAGTGAGCAAATTATTAAAATACTTCTTCTCAACTATGTCATCAGTAAGTTGGATTGCTGCAACTGCCTCTGTAAAGGCTTGCCAAAGTATAAGTTAAATCAATGGCACCACATAATATATATAACGGCAATATTAAACCAAAGGCTACCTTCATGGGAGAGAATTACTCCAGTGCTCAATGATTTACATTGGTTACCTGTTAAGGCAAGAATTGTCTACAAGATTTGCCTTCTCTTTCAAACTTTGAAATCTGGAGAACCAGAGTATATACAGTCCTAAGAGATTCCCAAGTAAATACCCTTAGGGAGCTTAGACATAGTACTGAACAAGGTGCATACCAAGTCTGTAATAGGTAGTCACAAGTTGCTCAATATAATGATATTTTGGCAATTTTCAAGAAAAGATGGAAAATTTAGTCTGTTCATTTAGTGTTATATGTTATGATTTGTACAAGTAACAGCAATGGAACCCAATAAGTCAGTTTCTCTCATGTTTTTTTGTTTTTTTTTCTACTAATTGTATTGTATGATTATGATTACTATACTTAAGCCAATCTGTCGAATTACTCCTTGAAATGTTAATTTCCTCTGTTGTAAAGGAAAATGTTCCACTCCTTATAATTCTGATGTAATTACAATATCTACAAGAATGTACGGAAATTCTCAACCACCATTTTTGCAGCTTGCACTGCTTGTTATGAATGTTTCACTATGGCATCATCTCATTATGCACTTAGTGTAATAATGATTCAGGTAGGGACATAAATCACCTGACATGCTTTTAAGACTATAATCTTTTTCATACATATGCTAAGGAAACATGGTAGATGCAACAGACTATGACTTCAAGCAACAATGATACAAAAACACATAGTGGGTTGACAAACCAAACAGCTCAGGGTCCCTCAAATGACAGCCAATAAATAGACAGAGTGGGTCTCTCTCTCCCTTCCAACATGACTACTTTTTTCAAGGCAAAGATGAACTTGACTTGTTGGATGACTGAATGGTGATGCTAATTACAGAACTTAGAGTTTCTGTTTTCTTTGTTTCTTGAGCACAGTTTGGTAATTCTCAGACTGGTAAAAAAAGGAAAGTAAGAAGAAGAAGAAGAATAAATAAATAAATAAATTAGTGTTTATGGTCATAGGATAATTAAGTAACATGTCTGATCAAATTGGGGGCCAATGGTTTTATTTCTTATGAAGAAAATGTCGGTTTTGATAAAGTAGAATAACTACCATTATAGTTCACTACTCATTGCAGAGTAAATATAAATAAGTTTGTTGAAAAGTATACATATTCCTCAGACAATTATATATGATTAATAGAACACAGTTATGCTTGTGTACTTACAGTTGAGTAAAACTCAGTCTTCTCATAATGATTTTCTGTATTTGCCATAAACTTCAGCAACATCACATTTTGAACATAATGAATATGAATTAAGATAGTATAAACTATTAACAACACTTTACAACAGATGACATGCCAAACCTTCTATTACAATTATCTTTTTTTTTTTTTATCTTTTAGTAATAATTAAACACATGGCAACCTAAACTCTGATAGCCAAACCTCAATAAAGAAATTAAAATTTTCATTCCCTTCATCTCAACAGAATCTTTACTATCATTATATTTTAACTGTATGTATGAATATATATTGTCTGGAGTAAGATGTTAAACTACACCCTGGGTTGCCCTTTGGAAAGGCATAGTACCCATTTTCCACCCTAGGTTGGGGTAAAACCAAAACTGTTGCAACAGGGCAGTGGATGCATGTTGGAGGCTCATTCAGTGTAACTGAAAATGATGGCTTTAACAAGCACGTACATCTGGCAAGTACTCAGTCCTGCTGAAGAAATGGCAGAGGTGCACCTTCCGGTAGAGGACACCTGCGGCAGAGAAAGTGTACTGGGAACCCTACTCTGCTATTCTTCCCGATTATCCTCCATGATGTTAGTACAGAAAAAAAAAAATGCATGCCACATCGCTCGTCGCGTGGACTACCAAGGACGCTATAGTGATAACATCAAAGAGATCAGTGGCTTGAGTTTTGCTGAAATTTGTAGACTCACAGAATATTGATGCTTGGAGGACCACAGCAATTCAACAATGAATTAACTGTTCTGTGATGATAATGAATATATAACCTGAAAACAGGCCTTGAAACAAAGATTTTGTATATGTAGTATAGTTTATCTGTTTTTTATTCTGAATTAATGGCAAGGATTTACACTTTTACAACCCAAAATATATTTTTTGTATAAAATATTTTTGGCTAATTAAGTCATAAAATTAAACAGCATTTCCCAACTGTATTCTAAAAATGGATTCAAAACACAACAGCACTTCTAGTACTTTATTTAAATATTAGAACCAAAACAGCACTTTGTATTCCCATGGATTTTTATTTAATGAACATGATAATTTTTTAAATACCTGTATATATGTGTGAATGATATATATATATATATATATATATATATATATATATATATATATATATATATATATATATATATATATATATATATATATATATATATATATTTGCTGCATGTTTACTATCATTAAAATGCATGAAAACATTAAAATATTTTTTATAAACAATGTTATTATTATGAACATTTCCATTATCACATATTGTCATGATGCATTCATGAACTATGAGTGAAGTATATGGGCACCCACTTTGTTATATTTAGGAAAATCCTATTTCATGACTAATATCCTATAGCATCCCTACTTTGGTTTTACATATATCATTGCAAAGTGACAAATCTAAAGAGTATTCAGTTATGTAAAGCCAAAACATCTGTTCTAAGTATTTACACAAAAAAACAATTTAGTAGAAACACTTCATAAACAGATATATTACAATACACATCACACTGTAAATCAAAGAAAACCACTGTCATAAAATCCCTGAATATATACGCTTATATGCAAGTCAACCAAGGTACATAATAGTCCCCTATACATCGTAACTTGCTCCGACTTGGGTCTCATCGAGGAAGAAGTTGACGAGGCCCTGCGCAGACTCGTCAGAGAGCCATGTCAAGCTGTAGAGAACGGCTTGCAGGATACCTATGACGGTTCCTCCAACGACATCCAGGATGTGGTGTCGGTGGAGCAGGACGCGAGAGATGGATACCGCCGCTCCCCATCCCGCCAGGACAGGAGAGAACCAGAAGAACAGGTCGTACTGGAAGAGACAGAAATTGGCTTCTGTTGAGTTCTGAGAAATTAATAAAGCTCTTGAGAGGCAATAATAAAGCATTCACATTTCTGTACTTAGTTTAGTTATGTAATTAGGATTAAAATATTCCAATTTACTAAAATTAGGAAAAAATGTTCAATATTCAATGTCCACTATATTAACCCCTTGCCAACAAGGATGGCATGTACGTACATGCCATGCCCACTGTGAGTCGACTTGTTTGATTGTTTTTACACATGGATGGCTACACTTGTACTAAGTCACCAGTGAGCCAATTACAAGTACTACCTGTCTCGCCCGTTCACCCTTTTCATCGATTTATGAAAATATTTAACGTTTCTTAATTTGCTGTAAAAAATAACACCAGCTATATTTATAGCACAAGTAAGAATATGTTATTTCCCGCCAATTCAAGGAAAGGTGAAATACCCTGTGCATACCCTGACACAGGATTCATTATAGTGCTTGTATCTCTGAGATATTGAAATTCTTTATTGTTTGTGTGCCACGTCCTTGAAAATGTTATCATATAACAGGATGGGAAAAATGAGATATTTATGCTATATATTGAGAGAGTTTCATTTATTTGTATGAAAATATACACAGGAAGTGAGTAATATTGGTAATGCATAAAAATAGTTCCAAGGTGGTAGGTGAAAACCTGCATTGTGATTTCCCTTAATAATAACTTGTATGTGATTTTTTGCTCTCATTTTATCTACACAGTTGACAGAGCTGGTGAGGGAAGGCAAAGTATAAATAGAAACAAACTAGCTTCTTCCTCCTCCTCCTGTAAGGTGCTGCTCAACATCTATGACAATGAGACAACACCTTGTCCTTAGAGGCACCCATGAAGATATTCCAGAGAGAACTGCTTTTATTCCAGCTAGCTTCCCAGTTGCAAAATCTCATGATACCCACATATTATATATATGTATTGCATTATGTGGGATTTCTGTTACAGGAGTAAATGTAGGAATGATAACAATTCTCATTTCATAGGAAATATTGCAATTATTAAATTACTGATCTTGTTCAGGTTTTCGGAAAGAAAATGTTCTACTCTTGTAACATTCATTATTGTAAACAAAGTTATGATAATGATAATGATAATAACAATAATCATAATGTTAATAACAAAAAACAGAAACAACCTTTTTTTCTTGAGAATTCAAGGGAATAGGGTAAACATGTGAGATTATGTAGGCCTAGTAAATGATTCATTGATGATCAAGCCCTAGTAAGCCATCCATGCAGATGTAAGATTAGTATAAGAAAACTACACTAAACAGTGCCTATATATGGCTCTAATGGGTTAAAGGATCAGAAGATGGCACATCTTCTGATCTGATGCAGATGTAGCATATCGGCACACTAAACAATCACTTCTATCTATTTCAATATGCAAAAGTTACTTTCCCAAAAATTGAAAATCAAAATCTACAATATGATACTTGAAAATATCACATTATCCTGTGGGAATATTGGCATAGTCTTTTCTGGGTCCTCCATGTCCTTACCTACACATGCCTAAATACAGGATATTTTGCTCAAGGGGAAGACTTAGGGAAAGTAATAGCTGGGTAAAAATATAGTGATTGTGCTGGGTCAGGTATGCTGTTGCACATTAACAGTTTTGCTCCACATGGTTTAACCCAATGGCGCTGGGTGTACAAAAGAAAAAAAAAAAAAAAAAAAAACTCTACGCTTAAACAAACAAAGGCGGCGCACCGACTTTGAGCGCGTGAGTATGGGACATCAGCCCGAATCACTGGCTCGCCGCCGGCTCGTTCGGCTGCACGCCAGCTTTCGAGCTCTTTGTTTACACG